GGCAAAAAAGTTACTCTTTCAAACTGCAACTATTATTTTCATAAAAAATAATCTTAAGTAGTGAGGACATGATAGCATGTTGATGCTGTTTATGCTAATCATGCATATACAAATGTGAAATGCTGTTTAATAGGTTCAAATAGTCATACCCATGTTAAGATGTCCAAAATTCAAGTCTGTTACTCACCCCCCACCACCAAGTCCTGTCCACCTCATTCATTTTTCATTACTTGTGGCAGTATTAGCATCCTCCAGGCAAGACTGGTTTATAACCTGAAAATGATAGGCTCCTTTCTTTAAATTCCATATTGATATCTAGAACAGTACTTCCCAAACTGTGGTTGGTGAACTACCGCAGGCTCCCTGCACCCTCTTTTCTGTTAAGAAGTTTGATGTTAAGTGTTCGTAGTCATTTGTGAGAAAAAAGTGAGGGTTAACAATAAACTGGCTATCCAAAAACTATTCGGGATCCACTGACCTAGTGCATATCCAAAGCTTGCTCCCTATCCTAATCCAGTGAGTTATTACATTGGTTTAACTAATACCTTTTGAAAACCCACCTTCATCCACAAAGCCAAAAGGAATATTCATTAAAATACTGACACTCTCTCCCTTTGAATTTCTCAAGGCTTCTCATCTTGAAAGAGCTTACCTTATTTAGATTGTAAACTTATAAAACTGCAGTTACACCTCTGCATTCGTTTACTGTATAAAATATACATGCATGCTTTTATGCCAGCACCAAACAATATTAGAGAAGGCAGCTAGTTCAACTAACGTAATGGTCAATAGCTGTTGTTTAAATTAGACACATGCACTTCAAAATAGTAAAACACCATTTAGTTGCAAAGTAAAATATGCTTCTTTCCTCCATGCTACTAAATCAGTATAAGCTTAGGTAGACAATACAGGCAGAACACACCCCAGGAGGGAACAGTTTTGTATGAATTTGTTACCTCTTTAACGAGATGTTTTACAGATTGCTGTCCACCTCCTGATCCCCACACGTTGTCTATACGCTTTCCACCCTTTGTCACACTCAACAACACAGTAGCTCGGTCCAATGCAGCTCTGTAAAGCAAAGGTGGCAGAGAAGGAGATCACACGAGAGAGAAAGGAAAATATAGACAACATTTGGTTCTCTAAACCTTCTCTGAATACTAAATGCAGTACCCTCTCAACATCAGGGAGGACTTAGAGCACATACTCCCACACCCTGTCAGGAAAGGTTTCACAGGACAGGTGGGGCAATCCCACCGCACAGATGGCTTCACGAAGTGGCTGTAGGTCCCACTCTATAGAAAAAGACATCAGCCCACCATGTGTATATAGCAGCACATATGCCATTCCTGCTTAGATGGGTTGCTCACACTAAACTCAGTCAGCCCCAAAGACAAAGGCTCTGCAGGACACTTCACACCAACCATCTGGGAACTGGCATTCATCAGAAAACATCCCCGAGATCTTTTCTCCACCAACTTTCCCCTTAGCTGCAGCATAATCAGGCCAGGCCATGCAGCAGTGGCAAGCTACTGAAGTTCTCAAGGCAGGGCCTGAAACATTCCCCTCCAACGGGAATCCAATCATGTCCTCCGCAGAGTAGTACAGAACCTGGAAACTTTCAGATCAGAGCTGACAGCTGGGCATGTAAACCTTCAAAAGCTGTTGCTAAGCCCAGATCACTTCGATGTGGGCAAATAGTTTCTCCACTAGAAGCATTTCTCATGTTTGGGTCAACAGAGCTCAGGAACCTCTTTGAGGCCCAGCAACACAAAGTACTTCAGTGGAGAGGCAAAAACCAAATGTTTCCAGCGATATGGGAACTGGGGACGCTTGTCAGGATACTGGGAAGCAGGAGGAGGAACTGGCTGTGAAAAAAACCCCAAAAACCTAGATCCAGATGGACTACCATGTACCCAACTTAGGGGTACCCCCTTCTTTGTAAGCACCTGGGGGAGCATTAATCTATTCAGCATTAATGAATTAAACAAAACATTAGTTAAACCTGGTTTAATAACCCAAGAGTCGAGTCAACTAAACACTACATAATACACTTTATCCCAAGACTTAGGTTTAGTCACTTCAGGTTTCGTGACAGGCTCCCTCTGGTAGCATTTTTTTTGGAATAAAAATAAAAGTGGCCACACCTAGTTTACTTTAAAACCCTAAATTACTGGTGTGCCTGGGTCAGCATTTAGAAATGAAAATTATAACTATAAAAAGCAAATTGCTTACCGAGCTTGGACGCAATCCACAGTGCCTTTGTAGCCATCTATGTAAGTATTGCTTAAAATCCCATCTCCAACAGCTCTTGCAATAAACTGGCCTACCAACTGAGAGAGAAAATAAACATTTCTAATGCATATGTAGTTTCACACGATCTTGAAGTGCAAGTTGTTTAGTTATTCATGCTTTACTTAAATATTTTTCTTACTTTACTTTTTTTAACGAAACATCTCAAATGAAAGTTTGAGGAGCTAGCAAGGAAAGTAGAAAGAGAAATAAGTTTACAGTCCAGACTAACATTTTAAATATAAATGTGCTTTTATTTCATTATTCCATTTAATTTCAGACCATTGAACTGATCATCATCAACTATGGAGTTTAAAAGAAAGATTTTGCTTCTTGTACAAACTGTTACATGCATACCTGCGGTGCTCTGGGCGAATCCAACGCCAGTTCAGGTAGCTCTCTAAGAAGTCTATCAAATGATTTTTCGACATCAGTTTTGCTGACTATTGTTCCACAAAGGTCAGACAGGAGCTTAGATGTCATTTCCCTGTGACTAGCCTTCCCTTCCAGTGCCAGTGATACTGCCAATACTGGCACACTACATTTCATTTCACCAAGATGTAAATCCTTCAGCATCTCCTAAATCCAAGTTGAAAAAAATATTTCAACTATTTTGCACTAAAATTAAAGCTATACGTGTATCACTACAAGTACAGAGGAGGATTTTCTGGGCACGTTAACTGCACATTCATGTCAACACCTCCGTAATCTCAATCTCATCTCTAGCTCATTGTGGTTCGCATGCAAGTTACAGTATTTTTAAAAATGCAAGCTGTCTGACATACCGCAACTTCATTAGTATCTCCATGTTCAAAATACTCCTGTATAATTGGTGTTAATGTTTTTTCAAATGCTCTTTCATCCAGGGGTAGAACAACTGTTTCATAGACACAATTCTCCTGTTTAAAACGGAACAAAACCAAAAATTTGACATCCTTCTCTGAAAACTGCTCTCTCCTCCCCAATAGCAAGCCAGCCTGTTTTCCCCTCAAGTCACAGGTACCTGCATGGCCAGACAGGCACAAGCATGTAAAAACCTGCAAGGAGGAGAGGACAAGCCCTCTATTTTCATTATGTTTGTCAGCTTCAGGCATTTCAAAGGGGGGTGGAAATAAAAATCACACAGCAAGACATCCTGAGCACCAGGGTGTAACAGTATAAACACAATATTAGTGCTTTCTCCACCTCATTGTTTCCTCATGGACTGGCATATTAATTATTCAGCACATAATATACCATAAATTCAGGTAGAGACTGGTAATAAAATGGGTTGAAACAGCAAACCAGTTAGCCAATAAAGCTTCCAACTAGTGCTAATTCAGGACAGTAGATGTACAGGATAGAACTTGTTAGCTTTCCAAAAAGCAATTATCCTGGACTCTCATAATTAGTCAATCCCAAAGCAATCAAGGGGAAAGAGTGCATTTTGGAAAATATGTAACACTGCCTGATGCAGAAGGGAAAGAAGAAACAAGCTGGAAGGGAAGCTACATCTGAAAGTGGACACTTGAGTACTGAAGAACTGAGCCCTTCTGTCCGTTCCCAATTTTATAGGACACCACAGTACTTGTCTTTTCAATATCTCTTTTTAGTTAGTAAAACATATCCCCTTGAGTTCTGGCATACAAAGTAGACAGTGGTATAAAGTGTTAGGAGAATCCCCCGATTTCCACTGCCAGACCCATTCTCTTACAAAGCGGATCATAAAGATGGATTTCCGAGTTCTAATGTACTTACCACACTGAAGAAGTAAAGTCTTGCAACTTGGCATCTGATTTTATCATGGTTTACACACACACACACAGTTTGTACAACTAGTATGTTTTCCTTGTGTCATCCAACTATGAACGGGGGGGGGGGG